AAATATTTCCTTCGTCAAAATGACTTTCCCAGTTTGGGTCTAGAGACGTGGAGTAGCGGTTTAGTCCTGGGCTATCTCCACCCACCACCTGCACTGTGAATTTCACACTTGCAATAAGTGCCATGTTTTCCAAGTCTGGTGGCTGAAATTCACACTCATTTTAAAGCTCTTCCCCCAATCTCCCTAACTCTTAGAGCTAAGATTTCCATCTGACATTGATTTCCAGATTTCATTGCTACAAGGAAAAACTCTTATCTCAAAAATTCATACACTGAACACTAGACCATTTTGTAAAAACACTCTGCCTCAAGCATCAAAAACAGTGTCAGGGAACAGCTACTCATACTGAAATGCAGTCTTGTGTGAATTCCAATAACTGTGAGACATTTTCCTACAGACAGCAGAATATAGGTGCTGAACGCTCTGTCTGCTTCTTTTCTATGCTGTCTCATGGGTAAGGCAATCTGAATATATTAGAAATAAATGGCAATAAAATATATAGCTCACAGATGTGTAGTGAAGGGAATATGCATCTATGGTATGAAAACAAGGTGCACTTATTGATTCCTTTGCTTCTATTTTAACCATTATGGGGCTTTGTGTACCCAAGGACAGAAGGCCTGCCAGAAAGAGAAAAGTTAAACATGATAGCTTAAATTTTAAATCAAACTTCAGAAACGTTTCAAATTTGAACCACTTTCTTAGACACTTGTCTAGAAAGATTGAATGCACTTCTAATCTGGTTATAGGCTATCACTAGCTAGTTCTGTGACATAGGGCAAGCTACCCCAACTTTCTCATCTTTAAGTTACATGTCAGATGTATGAATATGTAATCTCTATGGTCCTTGATAAAGAGCCTGTGCTTTTTTAAAAACTATCACAGAGCAGTTAACCTTGAATTTTCTGAAGCCATGTTGTTGTGTCTATATTTCAGCTCCACTAAATTATTATCTGTGTTAATTTGGAAAGTTTATGTAAATCTTGCATGCCTCATTTTCCATTTGCAAAATGGAAAAAAAAAACAATATGTCTAATGAAGTTGTTGTCAGGATTAAATGAGCTATATTTTAACAATGATAACATATGTGTTGTCTATATTTTATTTTATTTTATTTTTTAATATATTTTATTGATTTTTGACAGAGAGGAAGAGAGGGGGATAGAGAGTTAGAAACATCAATGAGAATCATCGATCAGCTGCCTCTTGCACACCCCCTACTGGGGATGTGCCCTCAACCAAGGTACATGCCCTTGACCGGAATCGAACCTGGGACCTTTCAGTCCACAGCCCAACGCTCTATCCATTGAGCCAAACCGGTTTCGGCTGTGTTGTCTATATTTTAATATATCTTAAAGCAGAGGATACATATAGAATCATTAATAATAACTTATCAGAGCTTAATTGATACATTTTTTTCCTAGTTGTACATGAAGCATGTTTTCTAAATTAAGTTTATTAAGGTGACATTGGGTAATAAAAGTATATAAATTTCAGGTATGCAATACATCATCTGTATATTTAATGGTGGGTTTACTGCCCTAAGTGAAGTACTCAATAATATCTTAGATTAGATAAAGGTCGATAATGCATATGAAGTGCTTAGAATAATGTCCGGAGCAAAATTTGCCCAATACCTGATGTTAACATTTCTCCATAAACAATAATTGTTATATCTAAGTTAAGAGTGATATGCTAAGAATAATAAATTAAAAGTGATTAAAACCTTGTGAGTCATATCAACCTTGGTATTATTTTGTATCTAATGTCATAATACAAATTTAATAAATTCATTCATATTAATCAATGTCAATTGATGCAAAATGAGATCCACTCAAATACTGAGTAGAATTAAATTAAATATTGTTATGATAAAAACAACAAAATCCTCCTCTTTTACTTTATTAAGCTGTTTAAGGATAAAAGATTAAATTGTAAGAAAGTAAAAAATTAGTAATATATATTCATTAACCAGGCTTAGCACATTATTCAATAAAATAAAAAATAATAAGAGCATACTGCAGGCACCAATTTATATATTATAATTACCTTTTGTTATTAATTTTAAGAATGATTAATACTATATTAATAACTTTTAAGAAACAGGTTATTAAAACTTTATTACTGGTTTGCAGATATTAAACATTTATATTAAACTCTTTCTCCTATGATACTTTATGTAACTCCGGAACTGGCATCTCTTCTATCATTAGGTTTTATTTTATAACAAACATCAGAGATTATCACTCTGCATTTAAAAAACATATACTTAAGAAACTAGTCATATCATGGTTAAGAGCAGTTTTAAATAATCAAGGAATAAATGTAAATGATTGCCTAATATGCACATAAAATGTTTGAAATAGCCCAATCCCTGTGGCTCAGTAGTTGAGAGTCAACTAATGAACCAGGAGGTCAATGTTCAATTTCCAGTCTGGGCACAAGCCTGGATTACAGACTCAATCCACAATGTGGGCTGGGAATAAGGCAACCAATCAATGATTTTCTCTCATCATTGATCTTTCAATTTCTCTCCCTCTCCCTTCTATGAAATCAGTAAAAAAAAAAAAAAAAAAAAAAAAAAAAAAAAAAAATTAGATGTTTGAAATATACCCTGAAGCTAGGTAAATGCACCAAAGGTATTAGTTGTTGTCAACATCTTGATTGAGTACACTAAAGAGAAAGGACTTTATAGATGACCTAGTCTAAAATCATTCAGACTAGAAAGGGCTTGAGATATGATTAAATGATAATTTGTGAGATAAGAGACTCCTAAAATAATTTTGTGTACTTTATTTAGAAATATATCACTGTAGGTTTAATTGTTTTGTTGTTAGATCATTTGAATGGTAATATACTAATAAATTAATATCATAGCTCTGAGTATCATTTTTTTCTTGTCAACATTGCCTAGAACTTAAATTAAATAAACCTGTACAAACTCTGATGTGTGCTTTTGGATTTATATAATACCTAGGGATAAAAACACATGGCTATTAGAAAACTATTTTCATTATCAATCTTTCAAATTCTCTACAAAAAATAAGGTAATCTTCAGTAAACCGTTTTCCCAGAGCATCTTGAGCAATCAGATGTCTGGGTAGTAGAGCTTCTTTACTCAAAAAACACAGGCATAAATGTTATAAAAATATAATTCTTAGAAATTGCCGAAACCGGTTTGGCTCAGTGGTAGAGCATTGGTCTGCAGACTGAAAGGTCCCAGGTTTGATTCCAGTCAAGGGCATGTACCTTGGTTGCTACCTTGGTTGCAGGCACATCCCTGGTAGGGGGTGTGCAAGAGGCAGCTGGTCGATGTTTCTCTCTCATCATCAATGTTTCTAGCTCTCTATCTCTCTCCCTTCCTCTCTGTGAAAAATCAATAAGATATATTTAATATATATTCTTAGAAATTGAAAACTACTTGGATTTCAATGGCTTTCAGAATATTTATGGTAGGCTTTGTAAAGATGTATGTGACTTTATTTATGGATAAAACTTATTTATTATTGAACGGAGTAAGGGTTATTGCATTATTATTATTGGATGAATTAAGGGTAACTAATGGAAGAAACTCCTGTCTTTTAGACACTTAAAATATACATGATGATGATGAAAAATCCTAAAGGGCTAAAAAATTATGCTTCTTCTCTCAACTGTCATGTGAATAAGACTTTGGATAAAAGAGCGATAAAGACAAAAATAAAACCAAAATAAGAAAATGAATATATGCTGTACCTCAGAAAGATTTTTTTAATATTTAGATTCATATAAACATAAAGAAAAATATGTGGATGACAAATTAGCAGATAAAACTTACAAATTATCATTTTGCCCTTTTCTACCTCAATTAATGGATTGTACATAAAGAAGTTTCCTATCAATACAATTTGTATTAATCAAAATAGTGTGTCAGACTTATATTACTATCAATGCTTCTGAAAATGATATAATAGATCCCTATACTTGGCAAAAACAAGTACAAAAAAAAACCCTTTTCTGCTAATAATAATCAAAATATTTTCTATAACTTTAAGGGAATGGTAAAAAAAAAAAAACACACCTAGCTTCAATGAAAAACTAGAATATACATTAATACACACATACATATATTATCTATCTATCTATCTATCTATCATCTATATGTCTACCTACCTATCTATTCATCTGTCTACATGCTGTTATATTAATAGTTGTGGAAAATAAGTGAAACAAAAATGTATGCATTAATATTATAGTTAAGTCTTAAAACTTAAAACACATTTCCTACAAATACAGATCTTTTATTGTTCAATAACTTAACCTTTCTAACTTTACACTTAAAAAATGATTACAATGGTAAATGTTATGTGTTTTATAGCACTTTTTTTAATGAAAGGATATAGATTTTTCCATCAAGCCATGTTAAAATAACAGGCAGAAAGGAAGTAAGTCTACATTTTACAGTGGCTAAAGCAAAGACTCTTCTTTTAAAATCAAAATACAAAGAAATAAAGGTTCAAGCTGAGAAAAAAAAGGTAAAGAAAATGCAAATATTAATGAAAATTCCAATTCAGCTTGTTTATTTTAAACATCATTGTTTTGCCCATCTTCTTTGAATGTAGAAGATGAAGTAAATCAATCTTTCAACTAAAGATGTATCTTTTAACTCACATAATAATAATAATTTAAAAATATAACAGGAAAAAAACCAAAAACGACTCCTATTACTTTCTCTAAAACAAGTAAAAATCAACACTTTGCATCCGATGACAAGAACACTATACTATATTTAATAGTTGGGCCATTACTAAAGAATGAAAAGATGATTGTTCGCTTTTTCCCCTCCCCCCAAAATTGTATACTTAAAATTGGTAAAAATGTACTAGTATAAAAGTATGGACATAAAAAGATCAGCAAAGAACACATTTATAAGTAAACTATAATTACTTATAGTATTTAAAATAACTATGCAAATGCAAGTTCCTCAGTACTAGCATGGTCTCTATGGAGATGTGGCATACCTCATAATGGCTTTCTTCATTCTCCTGCATGTGGAAACCCGCGGAGCTGGGACATTTCTGAGGAGTGACAGGAATATTGTCACTTTTGCTGTGTGAGTTACACTGAAAGAGATTACCAAATAATTGTGACAAACTACTCCACATTTAGAGTGTCTATTGAGAGACATGGTTGTTTGCTAAGAAACTAATTAAGGAATACAATTTGAATTAACACTGGTTGACTCTACACTCATAGGCACATACACTCAATGATATTGAGCCTTTATTAAAAAAAAAGATAAAAATAAAACAAGGATGAATAAAAATAAAATAAATTTTATTTTTACTATTTTAATGCAATATTGATTTATTATGCTTATGATTTTAGTTTCTAAAACATATTTAATAGCTAAGGTCATTAATACCTCATATATTACTATGTGTGAGAGATTAATCCTCTCTCTCTCATATATATATATATATATATATATATATATATATATATACACACATTATGTTAACCTGTGACATCAATATCATTTCCACTTATAGATGATGAAAATAAAGCATACAAATATTTTAACCAGGCTGGGCTGCTACCCAGCTTTCTGGGACCATATTCCATACCCTGTCTCCCACATGCATGGCCTTTATAAATGATGCATTTGAAATAGATAAAAATTAAAAACTAAAAAGTTTAAGGTCTAAAAATATTGCTTCACTTTTTTCCTGCACCATATATATATTTAAAAACAGGTTAACTAAAATAATTCATTTGGAAATAAATATGAACTGTAAAACATAAGCTATTGAGTTATGACTTGGCCTTTCTTTGTTAAAATACTAACATGACTCTTTTCAATATTCCTCATGAGTATTTATGTAAAAATAAGACATGTACTTTCTATTACCCTACTTTCTTCTTCCTTAAATCTCTTGTTAGATTCAAGACAAGGAGTATTTAGAAGCATTGCCATTGACTGTTTATTAAACATCACATTGGTGTTTCTAAGATTTCTTTAATAAAAGATATTGTAGCGCTTCAATATGGATTCATCATTGTTATATAACCATTCATCTCCCATAAGACTGCAACAAGCACACAGAATTTTATGGCGTAAGTAGGAAAAACAATATTTTTTTTCAAACTAGTATGTTGCATTTTCTTTCTATCCACTAATTAAATTTAACTTTCCCCATCCCAAAGAATAATTTGTTATAAAATGGATAATAAAGATGTTTTATAATAAGTTGTAGACTTTAATACATTGAGTTTGGTATACTCTTATTTAGAGACTACCAGTTTTTATATTTAAATACAATTAAAAATGAATTATATTTTTAAGTGTTTCATAATTATTTTGAAATAATTTTAAAGCCATAAAAGGGGCAAAGAAATTAAAAAGATTTCCAGGATATTCTTCATTAGATTTTTAATATATCAATTACCATGTATTTTTGTTTGTTTGTTTGTTAAGAGAAATAGCAATATGGAAGATTAGGAAGCCATGACTTTCAAACCCAAAACTATATTAGAAACTTTTGGCATGAAAAACGTTATTTTATGCCTGTCCTCTCCACAAACAATATCCATCAATCCTGTTCAAAACTTACCTCCCTTAGGAACTCCTTACGGGTAACTAAACTAATGGCAATTGTCATTTTAACCTCTGCTTGCAACCTAAGCAACTTTTACATGTAGTTTGTAAAATGCTGCTCTGCCAATATTAATTCTTAGAATGACACTAAGCTTGTCTAAACCACTTCACTGTTAATTATGAAGGCCTTTCTGATATTTCTCATCACTGACTTCCTTAGCTTTCAAAAAAAAATGTTTAGATCTTAAAACAGTTATTTTCATCTGTGATGTTCCTAGACATTTTAATCATTCAATTCCTGTCCCTAGCTTCTCCTCATATCTATTCAGCTGATTAATCTTTTAAAAACATCTCATGTATTATGCAGTTTTTCTCCCTAGAAACATTTTCTCAATTTCTGTGGCCCAGCAGTGGCTTCACACCCTGGCTGTATTAGAATTACCTGGGGAGTTCCAAAAAATGTTCATGACTAAATCCCAACTCACACTGGAGAAATTTATAGCTAAGGCAAAAATAGTTTCTAAATATCCAGGCAATTCTAATGTGCAGTCAGAGTTGAGATCCCTGGGTTAAGGTTAACATTTCTTAATCTGGCCCTCAAGACATTAATAGTAAATTTTGTTCTCACTTCCTCCTTTAACTTATTTAACCCATTATGGACTAGGTGCTGTTTTTTTCATGGACATATTTCATAATGCCTCTGAATCTGAACAAAATACAACCCAGTATATTTCAATACTTTATACCTACAAATACAAGATTTTATATATTATCTACAACAACCCTCTGCAGAGGTAGAAAACATGATCCTTCTTTAATAGGTGGGAAAGACAAAGGTTCACAGGTATCTAATGCCCTTTGTGCAAAAATTTGCCAGGGAAATGCACCCTAAGTGACAAAACTTAGGCAATTACTATTCTGCCATATCTGCCTTATGGGTCCATTAATTTGCTTGTTTATTTACATATTACACTCTGTTTATCCATTTTTTATTAGTCATTTGCCGAATGCTTTCGATGTTTCAAAATTTTATTGGTTCACCCAGATATGGCATTTACTATTTGTAATAACCTCATTCTAACAGTGAAACAATGTATAGAAACAAACAGCACTACAATTTGTAAAACTGTGAAATGGTATGCATGGGTATCTAAGGGGCAGAGAAGAAAGAATGACTGGACTCATGGGCATGACACATGAGCAAAGTCTTGAAAAATGAGCCTGGAAGGGAATCATGCTCAGCATGAATCCATGCCAGAAGGAATAGCATACGCAAAGACAAGTATATGAATTCCCATGTTTTGGCCTGTGAGTTTGACAATGCTTTAACTGTAAAGTATGTGATGACAAATTTGAGAATGGGGACAGAAATTATTGATGCATTAAATTTGACAGTAGACGCAATGACAAACAATTACAGAATTAGACTTTATATAAAAAATGACTACCAACTAATGACTACCAAATAAAGGTGCTTTATAAACATCGGAGATACCAAGGATGAGTATTCCCTCTCTCCTAACTTACCTAAGGGATTACAATATAAGCAAAATGAGGGCATTTGAAATATTACTGTGGAAATCAGGCAAGTCTCTCCATCTCAACAATATTTCACCAACTAAAAATTGTTTGCCAAATTCGATGTGAATAATTCTATAATAAATTATAGTTAAGTTAGATTTACTTAGTCAGATTTGATATTGCAGAAAATATATGTAAATCAAACTTGAGAGGTCCAGAACTCAATAACAGCAGTCAGGTTAATGGAAATCACTGTAGCCCTGCCCTGTGTGGCTCAGTTGGTTGGCATGTTGTCCTGTGCACCAAAATTTTGCGGCCCAGTTGATTCCAAATCAGAACACATACCAAGATTGGGGGCTCCTATAGGAGGCTACTGATGGAGGTTTCTCTCAAACATATAATGTTTTTATCTCTCTCTCCTTCCTTCTCTAAACTAATCAATAAAAAACGTTCTTGGTGGGGATTTTTTTTTAAAAGGAAATCACTATAAATACATTTGTTCTTTCTTTAAAATCAATTTGAAGTTTTCCATTACCTACAATTGATAGTCATTATTTAAATGCATAGATATGACTTTTCTCCCCCATAACATCCATTGCAGTTCCTGAGAGATTGTCCTTAACTACCTATAGAAATACCTGCTCAAACCTGCCTCATTACCAGGGATATTAGCTCTTTAATTTTTGACACAGAATTCTAAGAAAGCATTTCACAGCCATGATATCAAGAGAAAAATATCAATAGTAGTAAAAGCAACAAAAGTATTATGAAAATAATCACAAAAATAAATGACACCGCTGTTTTCTTTGCTAAAACAGGATTTGTTCTTTATGTTTTCCACCCAAGTCTATAGCAGCAATATGCCCTGTTATTCTACTCCTCCTTCCACCTTCTTACAAATCAATGCTGTTTGCTAAGAATTAATAGCACTGTTATAAATTGTGTGCAATCATTATAGAGGCAGTAGCCTTGCACTTTTTTGTTCTATATTTTATAATAAATAACAATTCTAGTTGTTAACTACTCCATCTGAAAAATTTTTCCTACCCATTTTAAGAAGCCCTTTTATAAAGAGTTGTAAAACTTTTTATACAAATGCCCTGGAGATTGATAAGAAATTCACATTTACAGGAAGAAGCTACTTTAAAGAGCCATTTGCACTTGCTGTCTGTAAGGTCTCTCCATTCATCTCTTTGGAGAGCCCACATGTATCAAATTCTCACCACCTCATGCCCCTGATACTGCTCTGTCCTGATCACCAATGATGTCCACATTAGCATCTCAAAGGTCAATTCTCAGTCCTCATCTTGCTTTATACCTTGATAACTTCTTCCTTCTGTATCACCTATGTCATCACCTTTCCTAGGCAACATTAACTAATGGGTTTTTTCTTACTTCTCATGTTCTCTTTATGGAATAGTTTAACTGTTTGCGTTGTTGTTATTGTTAAAACTGCAAAGCCAGAAGAGATGCAATTCAGAGATGGAAGATGCTGACGATGCCTCAGTGTACCAGCAGATAGCAGCTGCGGGTTGATGAAGGATGCCCAGGACCAAACCAGAGATGGGCGGACCTGCATTACCACCATTTGTCCACCAACCAGATCTGAAATATCATGGCTGGCATGGACATATAAGGAACTATCTGGCATTGAAATTGGGATGCAAAAGAACTGTTGGCCCAGAAAGGAACTCACTACAGATTGCATTTGCCTCTCAGCGTAACCATTATGGCTTGTTGCAGTTTAGGTTCTTACAAGGGTATTTCTTGGATCACATGATCTCACACATCTAGAGGAAATAATGAACAACATAGACTGATGAACAAAAACAGACTCAGAGAAAGAGAACCAGCGATTAGACTTTCAAACCTCAGAGGGAAAGTAAGGGAGGATGGGGCAAGGGGAAGAGATCAACCAAAGGACTTGTGTGCATACATATGGGCCTAGCCAGTGCCATGGACAACGGGGGTTGGAGAGGGCAGCATATCTAGGGAGGGGTTTGG